GCTCACCGAAGGAATGCAATTTGAGAGACAGTGGGCAGCGATGGTGAGGCGGGCTGCAAGTGCAGTGTCATTGGTGCAAGGGCTGGCAAAACAAGGGCGTTTTGGTGGCATCCTAATCAAGTCCTTCCACAATAGCGTTGGAAGTAAGCGCCCCCCCAGCCATCGTGTCAGCGCCTTTAAAGCCATTACCATTAGAACTGTTTCGCCTGGCGACTTCATTGTGACAGTGAGGGTCCTGTTCAAATGAGCTGGGACAATCTCCGTCAAGTCGAACCTGAATAAAAACGCTATTAAATTGCATAGCAACAAGTGTAGTAGCTTTGAACCCTACCTGTGCGGTCGATAGCTTATCGGTAGTGAGGAAGCGGACAGCTGACGACCACGTGAATCACGGAACATCACCTGCAGGTCCACTTTCAGACCAACTGGCAGGTATTGTAGCGGGGTAGCGCGATGACTGGGCTCAATCTTATGTCAGCATGCACAATGTCCAGGGAAATTTCCTGTGCGGAATCTTGAAAGTCTCATGAGTCATTGTGTAAACAAACATCGACTTCATTAATCTCTTGACTCACTCGTTCCGGAACAACGCGAAGTTTCGTTATCGGTGAGTCAGTACGAACGAACCAAACGCTGCTGGTCCCGCAATCGATTTTGCTTTGATGGTACCTGACTTCGTGACAGACAACCGGTTAGAGTACTCAGGCGGTACAGAGAATTCCACGACAGACTGTGGCCTAAAACAATTGACAAAGTAGAAAAGAAAGCTGTAGAACTTCGAGTGAATTGACCAACCATGCTGTTTCGCATGCTCATTGAAAGAGGTCTGCGCAGTCGTATGGAAGGAACCGGTAGTTAGTTGACGCATTGACAACGGTTCTTCTACACGAATTTCAATACTGTCTTCAAATTCTCGTATTGATCGAACAAAGTGCTGTTTAGCATGTGGGGCTAATTCTACGCGAACCTGAAATAAATCACATGCTCTACGAAAACCATGAGAAACACAACACAGCAATTAAAAGGGATCAACGTGCAATCAGAAAGTGGGGGGAGGGCGCACGAGTAACACAGGTCTAGTAAACAGATGTCCAAAACTAGAAGATGGCGAGCCATGTAACACGTTAGTGACAAGGCAATCTGTATTGCATGCGTGTCAGTGATGTCTCGAGACGTGCTACTAACGAGCTATGTGACGTCATAGACACGTCATCTGTCTCCTAACGGCGTTCGACTTCGCGATGACGCGCGTCAACTCGCTATAACGTGCCAGGAGCGGGTATCAATCAGCGCTGATCGCGACTGCTTGGAGAGCGTATTGTAGAATAGGAGGGTACGGTAGCCTAATCACACAGTCTGGCACCCTTCTACTATCCTACACCTTCTGAAACCTAGCGGCCTGTGCCGGTCGATACACGTATATTTGCGTTCCTTTCTATAGCACTGGAGGGCAGTTGCAATGATAGCGCGTCGACGCATGTCGTCGCGAAGTCTGAACGCTGCCCAACGCACTCGACCACATACCTAGCTACATCGGCGCCAAAGGAAACAAGCTTAACACCATGGAATTCCGACTGACTTTTACAATTGCTGATCCCGCACTACCACCTTCCAAGCAGATTGCAAAACGATTCTCGTCGATTTCAGATATCGATCCACCAAAAGGATGAACCATTTTTAACACGCCGGGATGACTCACGGTCCATGTTACCTGAAAACGCCACGTACTTCTTGCAAGTTGAAAAATTAAGCAGTTTTCTTCAAAAGTTATAAATTCCGTGAAAAATATTCGATCCATACCTTGAATGGATAGATAGCTCCACCGAAAGCAAATGGAGTCTCAGCTTCATCAAGACCATTCACGCGGATCCAAATACGTCCGCCTGTTTCGGTGATTTGAGTACTTGCCAAGGCACGCACTCCAGCCAATGAGACAACGTGTAGCACTACAGTGCTCTGGAAATCATAATTGAAAGACGCATTCCGCGATGATCGTATAGGCGGAGACTCACAATCGCTGCACCTCTTCATCGGCGCGCTCTACGAACAGAAGGAGCGCACCAATGAGGAAGGCACAACAATTGTGGATCTCCGCCCACTCGCTTATCGAGAAACGTCTGTTAGAGGTCTAATCTTGTTCTGTGTCCGAAATAGTTCAGATAGCCCACCTGAGTGGAATGTCCACCGCCGACATTCACCGTGCCGGTGATAGATGTATAGCCTAGACTCTTCGATGTGATCAAAGCGTTTGGCTCAATATTTGCAACCTTAGAATTGTTCATAGCAAAGTCAATCGGAGGAGTGGGTTGCGGGCCACCAACGACTTCCAGCTGAAAGTAAAGTAGTCCTAATGACAGCCTTCAGGTCCGCGAAGGGATTGGGGAAATATTGCTCACCTGGAAAGTACTCTCAGGGATAAGAGTGATTTTGCGCGGGACCAGAGTCAACGGTGAAAACACTTGAATACTATGTGGTTGTGACACCAGCGTTCGTCCTGAAGCCGAAGGCGAAGTTGCTTTCAAAGAAACTGCACCCACAGCCGTTGCGCGTATTCGATAGTGAGCACCAGATATTCTGCAAAATATAAATATTAATAAACGGGTTCAAACCCAGTTTCCCTCCCCCCCCCTCCCCGACACACCCCAGCGTCTGCAGGAAAGCGTCTACACGAACTGGAGAATCCGCGAAAGTGGCTCAATACGTATCGATTGACTTCAGTTTCTCCAGTTGGGCGAAGTCAATCGAAACATTATCACAAAAATACTGAGTTATGGGCAAAAGTTGTGACTCCAAGCGGACTTCTACCGCAACCTCGCACTTTTCGGACAAGAGCGCTATTCGTTACGCCACTAGGGCCGCCCCTTCTTCTGGTTCCAACAGTACTGACCAAGAAAAACAACTTCAATCGATACAGTTCAAGGTCGCGTTCATACTTGACGACTTGCTCGTTCGACTGCTGCGACTACTATCTATTCATAGCCAGGATACACCACTCCCTGCTGTTGCGTTGGTCCAGCGATTAACCGTAGAGCGCGACAAACCCGGCGATTTCGACATCCCAACAATGCGATCGATTCGCGAAGTATGAATAGTGCTCGACCTCTTCGATGTTTCTCGACTTTACAGATCTATACGCGTACTTTTCTTTTCGTGGATTTTCTCATTCTACGAACTTCGCGACCCTCCAGCGTTGTAAAGTATGAACACGGGCCAAAGGCATAGGAAGGATACATACTTTGTTATGTGAATATTTGTATCAGTTGATTCAAGTACTGCGTTCGACAATGCCCCATGATCCCGTGAAAACGAATTTCCAGCTTCATCCACAGCATCGATGGTCAAATTAGCGTCAGAACCGACTTCCATCTAAAAACGCTGGGGTAGTATATTGAGGGCAAATAATTTTTAACCGTCAAACTCACATTTGGGGTCTAAATGATTAGGATGAATGTCTGTGATTTTGACTGGAGTCAATGAATCTTCGCCACACAAACTCTTGAATGCGAAGTGAACCAGCGCCCTGGGACCTCGGAGTCACCTGGAACCGATAAATCAAATAAGTAACCCGGAAATTCTCATTCTCAGCTCTCTAGCGAATGTATGATGTACCGTGACGGTGTCTCCTTTCACAGAAACCGTGAACGGTGTTCCTGGTAGTTCATGCACACAAGTGTCCGTCATAATGCAACTTCACCGAGGCTACGCTGCATTCTTCGAAGACTGAAGACGTGAAGGTGCACTTGTCATGAAGCATTATAGTATTACAAGGCACACTTTACAAGTTTTCGATGGTTTCCGTGAGCATCTGGTTTTCACTAGACCACGTTCGAAGTTGGTCGAAGTGCGCAACACGGTTACGAATATTTCATGGTACCAGGAGTTTGGCAGCAATCACTACAGAAGGGTGGGCCTGCGCTTTGATGACAGCAGCTGAATTAAAGATACCAAATGACTAAGTCGATAAAACATCTCTGAAATGAGCGAATGAATGTTGGGAGAGGGACCAGAAGATACCAGAAAGGAACCAAGCAGAATCGCATCTCCATTCTGGCTCTACAGTGGAATATTTTTTTTAAGTTTGCCGTGGGACGTAATAATGCAGCGTCGCACAGGCGGAATTAATGTGCGTTGGGAAGGAGGGGACTACGAAAAAAAGGTAGGAGTTCTCCTCTACTCTACTTCCATGGATTCCTAGAGGAGTAAGATATTGACGGGGAGTTAGAAAACACAGAGGCTAAGGATCATCTGAACCACCAGCTTAGAGACAGGAATCTCTTCTTCACATAGCACTCGCTAAGTGACAGTGAAATGGGGAGTGGATAACTCAGATCGTTAGGTAAACCGTGCATAGATGAAAGAAAGTATTCAAGGGCGACAGCTGAAGACGTTGATGTATTGTGAGAAGAAAGAGTAGTAATGAATAGCGCGATTTACCTTGGGCCGTCTAGATGATGTAGGACTCACTTTATGGCGCTCTTGTTACGAGTATTCATTTAACCTAAAAGACGACCTGTGGGATTTAATATTTCTTCTGATACAAGTTGTTTGCTTACATCATCGTCGAAGTGAGGGCGGAGAAAACGGCGCGTGTTTGGCTCGAGTCATGGAGCGTAGCAAATCCGCCATTAAACGCGTAGCGAAAAAAGTGGATGATAAAAATTCAGATAAAGCTAACTTTAATCTGAGATGGAATCCAAAGGCGGTCTCCTTCTTTTCCGAAAAGGCTTGACTTTGCAGTTCAGATTCAATTGAAATGCGTCATTCAAAAAGGATCGATGGAGCGAAAAAAAAAAGGTATCTTAAATTCAAAGTCTGTTCTGAGATAAAAATCAGGCAATACAACCTCGTTTGAAGGGATTTCGGCGATTTTTTCGTTAACTGGAGAAATCACCGTCTCAAGGACGAAGGAAACAAACAGATAACTTCCACTGTAGATAGGGGGGCAAACGGAAGGTCAGTGATGGTTGTATTGCCTAACTTGGGAATCCGTCTGAACTAAATTATTCGAGTTGTAAGGATGATAGAGAGTCTGCGAGAGGAGGGTTATACCGTATAGAGCCGGTCTTCATGGCACATTTCATTGAGGATTCATCGAGAATCGAAGAGGTGACATGATTAACAGAAGAAGCTGAAAATGGACTATGGGAAGGTCGTCAGGTCGAAGTGGCCATTTGTGATGAGATGTAGATCACTAGACGGTTTTGGACGCTGATCTTGAATCTGCCTTCAAAATTTGCAAAGCGATTCTCTGAACCGAGTTATGGAGCCGCGTTTACCACGCAACAGGTCATGGGATCGGATCCCTGCTGAGCTTAACTTTTTTGCTTGTTGCGCAAACGTGGCAAAAAGTGATTTTGCCGTCACTACTACTTCAGTTCTCACCTGAGCTTGTCTGAAGAAAAGTTTGCCTCCATTTATTACTGCGCTTGGACTCCTTGTAGACTACAGTGCACTACAGTGCTTCTACAAGGAGTCCAAGCGCACTAATAAACGGAGGCAAACTTTTCTTCAGACAAGCTCAGGTGAGAACTGAAGTAGTAGTGACGGCAAAATCACTTTTTGCCACGTTTGCAAACAAAAAAAGTTAAGCTCAGCAGGGTCGATGCGCCATGACCTGTTGCGTGGTAAACGCTCCATAACTCCGTTCAGAGAATCGCTTTGCAAATTTTGAAGGCAGATTCAAGATCAGCGTCCAAAACCACGTCTAGTGATCTACATCTCATCACAAATGGCCACTTCGACCTGACGACCTTCCCTAGTTAGCTCTTATCCACAGCTAGCGCCGAGCTGAGAAATCATGGAATCGGGAACATACACGAGCTAGGCTACATAGTGATGGGCGAGTTGACGGAATCAATTCCAATTCAACTCTTTCCTGGATTCTTCTGTCATTCCCTCCATTACGCGACTGCTCCAATATGCACGTAACGGACGCAATATACTTCGCGATCCGATTGCTTGGATGACGCGCGGATCGCTCGAGCGATTCGATCGCGGGACCGCGACCAGGGGTGCGCCATAGCTAATCGATAGAATAGATAGTGGCAGACTCGACTGCGCCGCGTTTGCGCAGGGCATGCACGGGACCTATTTTAGTTCAGCCGTTGCGGCGGTCCAACGATTGATGGCGCGGAGCCCCGGTCGCACGATCTAACTGCTCGAGCGATGCGATCGCGCGATTTAAAGACAGCCCCCGCGCTCGAGTAGTACATGGTCGTCCTTTCTTATGCAAGTAGTACAGCCCCCAAGCTGCTGTTGAAAGTTCTAGTTCTAACGCCCGCTCAGTTGGACCGCCCACTTGCTAGATGCCCTCTGACGGAGGGCCGCTCAGTTGTTCTTTGTTGGGACGGCGGGCATTAATCGGAATGCATGTCTTTTTGCTGACCGCGCTCGTGCCCATGAATAATTCTGCTCTCCTTCATTACATTTTATTCATTAGGAGCACATACAGTCAACTCCAACCCATCTCGCAAGGTAAAACGCGTAAAAATCGACCCAATTTTCGTGGTGCAAAAGCTCGACGCACTACACTACACTAAAAGATGCACGCTACCGTAACCCTAAATTCGGACGCCGAGTTTTTGAAAGTTTCTTTTCCTTTTCAAGAGTTTTCTTCCGTGTTTTCGTTGTTTTTCGTATTCTTTTCTTTGCATGTGACGATAGGGAGCAATTTTGTTTATGGTGTTCTTGAGGACTCTTCTTGCTTTTTTCCTTCTTGGGGAATTACTTATCAGCTACTGTTTCATAATTGAAAAGCAATTATCCATGACACTTTTATCGCGGGAGCTGTCTTTAAAGGATCGGACTGCGAAGTATGAACGCGCTCTCACAAGGATTCAGCATGCTTCCAACTGTGAACAGGCTTACCTTCAGTGTAAAAGATCGAAGGATCGTGCAGCCAAGGCCTAGGACCACCCTCGAACTGAACACTGGCGCTGCTGCCAACTCCCAGGGCGAGGTTATCAGTTTTCACCTGAAATTTATTGGAAATCCATTGAAGACTAGGTTCAAAAATCGAAGCTTACCCTAAGAGGATTGTAGGCCGACACATCCAATGTCGCTTCATATTTACCGAAGGTGACTGTGACTTTGGCGTCGCCCGATGAAATCGCTTTGAGAGTTACCGTT